CCAAGGCAAATATCACATGCTTAAAAGTCGGTCAAGTCTAATTCTTCTAGTTTTCGTTGGTACAGTGAACCGGTCTTCTACGGAAGTTTCCTAGAAGAGGCACGATTTACATATTAAAAGTTGCTTTGTGAATATTAGTTGATATAACCTACCAAGCGACAACTGTAATTTACTTGGCTAATAATAACAATTATTATTATTATTTGTTAGTATTTATTGTAGGTATATTGAACAATGAGTTTGTTCTATATTCCTACTGTTCTGGTTCAATTTCGTTAGAATTGGTAGTTTTGTTAAATATTCAAACTAATATTATTTGGGATTAATTAAATTTAGCATCTAAAATTAAGAGTACTACTGCAAAATTATAATATCATAGACATAAATATTCGTTTCTTTTGGTTGGAAAAATATCATGTTCATTTTTATGAAATGAGGCAAAGTAGAGGCATTTAAAGATATAAAGAACCCAACAAATGAATGAATCCATTCTCTTTCAGACCATGAACAACATAAGTTTTTTTTTTTTTTAGCAATAGATAACTGGCATTACCAAATCAAAGATATCAAAGTTTACAATCCAAAAAGAAACCACTGATCAAAATCAAAATTCGCAACAACAGCAGATAACAAAGAGAGGGTCTTCCTGGCTACATCATGAGCCACCCGATTGTCATTCCTGCCAACAAAAGAAACACCAAAAGACCGATATTGCCTCCGCAACTCCTCAATTTCCACAAGTATGCGCCCTCCCTTCATATCCCGAGCATCCCGACGCTGAATCTTCTCAATCACACCCTTGGCATCTCCATAAAACCAAACTGCATCCATCCCCTTCCCGAAGCACCACTGGATAGCGTCCCGAAATGCCACTAACTCCACTAGAAAAGGATCAACAATACCTGCATAATAAAATCCCTTGACCATACACACCCGCCCCATGCCATCTCGGACAACCAAGCCCCCCGCCCCATGCGATCCCAGCGCCACTGCCCCATCCACATAACAAGAAAACGGTAACGCCAGATGCGACTGGGCCGGACCCCGTCCTCCAGACGAAATTCGCCGCTGAATCACCGGTACTGACTCTGGCTTAACAAACGCCATCCATTCATGCACCTGCATCTCAAACTGACGAACTAAGCATGGTATATCGTACTGCATATGCTCAAAGACTACCCAATTCCGGCTCTTCCAAATTCTCCAAAGCAGAGCCACCATACGCACAATCCGCTCTGTCCCCTCATCCTGCTCAACAATCCTACGGAAGAACAAAGCAAAGTTAGACACCCCCGCCATCCCATCCACACCTGTCACACCCAAGCGATTCCATAGGGCCACTGCAACTCTACAAGACAGAAACAAATGCTCCAGGGTCTCCACTGACACTCTCTCCCAGCAGACCGAGCATCTGGGAGAGAGTGTCTCACCATCTTCAGGGGGGTCAAGGACCTCAGCCGGATTTTGTCCCCTCTTTTCAAAGATAGCCTCCGCAGTGGGTAAAACCCGCCTAAGAAGTTGCCACACAAAGAATTTCAACTTAGGCGGCAGCGGAAAACCCCACACTTTCTTCCAAAAGCCCATATCAAAGAAAGAAACCTCCTCCTTCCATCCCGGAGCTGCACGGCTGAGCTGAAGAGCCAGATGGTACCCCGACTTCACTGTACACTCCCCATCTGCCTCCCAAGCCCAAACACAACGATCAGGTATCTGTCGAACTGGCAATGGAATAGAGCAAATCCTCTGCATCACTGACTCAGGGAAACAATGTTGGAGACACTCAACACACCAGTTCCCCGTACCAGGGACCAAGAACGACTCTACCCTGGCTTCTGACAACACCGGGGCTGAGGGGAGGACAGAAACCTCCTCACGCCTCACCCCTGGAATCCAACTATCTTCCAGCACCCTCACGTCTTTCCCATCACTAATCTGCCAAACTAACCCCTGCTGCAATAAATCTCTGCCATGGAGCACACTGGTCCACCCCCAGGACGGTCTAGACCCACGCTTAGCTTGCAGTATCGAAGTTTGCGCAAAATACTTCCCCTTCAAGACCTGTGCCAGTAAAGTATGCGGTTCCTGCCAAACCCGCCAAGCCACTTTTGCCAACAAAGCTTGGTTGAAGTCCTCGAAACGTCTAAACCCAAGCCCACCATCGAATTTGCTACGACATAGGTTCCGCCAGGAAACCCAATGCGCCTTTTCCTTATCCACCGAGTACCCCCACCAAAAGCGAGCCATATGCTTGTCCAATTTTTGACATAAGGTTACTGGCAAGAGAAAACAAGACATAACATAGATTGGGAGCGCAGCCGCTACTGCTTTAAGCAGAACCTCCTTTGCTGCCCACGACAAATATCTCTGCTTCCATCCCTGAGGCTTTGCCAATAATCTCTCCTCCAAATACCGAAATGTCTCCACCTAGACCGCTGCACTAGGGTGGGCAGGCCCAGGTACTTCTCCTGAACTCCTATAGCCCCAACACCCAGCACTCCCGCCATCTCATCTGCCTCTACCAGGTCTACATTCCCACTAAAACATACTGCCGACTTATTCAAATTAACCTTCTGACCACTCAGCTCCTGATACCTTTGAAGCAACTGCACCAATGCTTCACACTCCTGTCGAGACGCTCTCAAGAACAGATAAGAATCATCTGCAAAAAATAAATGGGAAATGCTAGGGCATCTTGGGTTCACCTTAACCCCCACTAGCCTTTTCTCCGAGATCGCCTGTCTCAACAAAGCCGCAAATCCTTCAGAACAAATAGCAAATAATAGCGGAGATAACGGATCCCCCTGTCGTAGCCCTCTCGTCGAGCGGAAATACCCTGCAGGCACTCCGTTCATCATAACAGAGAAAGACGCCGTCGAGACGCATTCCTGTACCCATTCTATCCATCGCCGACTAAACCCCATCTTAGTCATGATTGCAAACAAGAAGTCCCACTCTACTCTATCATAGGCCTTTTCCATGTCAACCTTTAGAGCTAGGTAAGACTTCTTCCCTCGCTTCTTGATCTTAAGATAGTGCATCACCTCATGCCCAATCAGAACATTGTCAACAATCTGGCGACCACGAATAAACCCATTTTGCTCCGGTGAGATAATGGAAGGCAAAACAACAGCCATCCGCTCCGCCATGATTTTAGAAATAATCTTGTAAAAAAGTTGACATAGACTAATCGGTCTAATCTGCTTCATAGACTCCACCGAGTCCACCTTAGGCACCAAAGTCATCCAGGTGTGGTTGAAGCTTTTCAAAAGGCCCCCCGACTGAAAAAATGACTGAACCACCTCCATCCCAACGATATCCCAGTATGCCCTATAAAACTTCCCAGTAAATCCATCAGAGCCTGGGGCTTGGGTAGCCCCAATAGAGAACACCGCTCGGCGAATCTCGTCCGCAGAAACATCAGCTGTCAGGTCCCTGTTCATTTGATCCGTCACAACCTCCGGCACAGGGAGCCCTGCCATCCTTGCCTCTAGATCCGGCGATTGCCTCTCCGAAGTGAAGAGCTCCTCATAAAACTCCCAGCCACGGCACCCTTCTGAGCCTCCTCCGTGACCCATGTACCATTTTTATCGATCAATCCTTCAACAAAGTTTCGCCTACGCCGCGCCCGCGTAACCGTATGAAAATAAGAGGAATTCTTATCCCCCTTATCCAACCACCTAACCCTCGATTTCTACCTCCAGTATTCCTCTTCCGCCGCCCATTGCGCCGATAACTCTTTCTCCAGCCTGGCAACGCTATCCCAATCCACACTCGTCCCCTCCTTCAAAGCCCCAATTTCCGTCTGCAGAATACGGATATTCCGAGCCGAGTTATTCGTCCCCGCTCGGCTCCAATCAAAAAGTAAGTGTCGCAGAGCTTTTAACCGCTGCCATAACCGGAACATCGGCGACCCAGTATACGTTTGCTTCCAAACATAACTGACCAGTAATCTCGCCTCCGGGTTCTCTACCCATCGCGAGTCAAATCTAAATAAAGGTTTTACCATCCTGCTGAACGGCTTGTCCGCTATAAGTAAAGCCCTGTGATCCGACCCCAAGTCAGTACAGTGCTTCACCAAGGTTTGCGGGAACTTATCCGCCCAAAGCGGTGAAACCAAAGCCCGATCCAACCGCTCCATAATACAAGCCACCCCCATACGTCGATTAGACCAAGTGTATTGCGGACCCATGAACCCAATATCTTGTAGTGCAAAATTGTTCATAAAATCCCTAACACTTGTAGAGCTAATAGGGTCCCACGGAAGGCCTCCTGCTTTTTCACTGGGCTCCAGCACACAATTCATGTCCCCAATTACAAGGAATGGGACATTCAAATGTAAACAATACAAATGAAGCACAGTGACCTGTTGAGCACGAACATTTCGGTCTGGAGACAAATAAACACAAACACACACATACTCCAAACTCTCAATGTCATTCCCAACACCAAAAGCAATAAAAAAGGACTCATGCGCCAGTACATGGAGGGCAAAATCACACTCCCAACCAATAGCAAGCCCACCGGCAGCATTAACAGCATCAACAATAAAAAAAATTGAAATCCTAACCCGCACAACCGCCGGGTAACTACGCGCCTACAAGATTTAGTTTCTGACAGAAAAATAATCTCTGGCTTATTCGACCTACACAGACCAAGCAAGGATTGGAACGTAAGAGATGGCACGATGCCTCTTACATTCCAGGAAATCATCTTCATTTGGCGGGCTGGGACCATTCATGGCTGGTTTCCTCCACCGCAGCTTGCACACACACTTTCTTCACCGGAGTAGGATCAAATTGCAGCCCTGCAACTTCACCTGCTGCCCGTTTCCTTTCATCAATCTCCGCCGGATCCGGCGCCACCATACGGAAGGCCTCCTTCCCCTTGCTTTTCAGCCCTCCCCCTGCTGCCCTCGGCCCAGCATCATTTGTTTGCCTCCCATGAGGCATGCGAGCTTCATACCTATGCTGCTGCTGCCTGGGTACACTCTCCCTGCTCCTCTACATCCCTCTACTAGCCTGCTGGTAAGTGCCCTGACCACCCTTGCCTTTCCCCTTCACAAATTGCCCCCGATACCCACCGCTACCACCATCCACATTTCCCCTGTTCACCTGCCCCTGGCCCGACTTCCCTTGCACATCACCACTCCCCCGCTCCATACTCCCTTGAGCAGGCAGACCCAACACCACAGATTTGCCGCGCCCACCTGTCGGATCCTCCTCTGTTTCCCGGCCCCGTTTCTGCTTCCCACCTCCTGCTGCATTAGCGCCAGAATTGGGGTTGACCCACACCGACGACTGCGCCGGCTGGCGCAATGGGAAAGGCACGACAGCTGCCTCCTCCACTCGATAGCCGATGATGTCTGTACTAAGTTCAGGGCCGTAGTGCTCTATTCCCACCGGGTCTGGATACACGCAGTTTGGGGCCATATGCCCCAACCTCCCACAATGGTAGCATAACAGTGGTAGGAACTCATAAACCAGTGTGACCCAGAACTCACCGACCAACGGGTTGCTTGCATAGAGTTGAGAGCGAAGTGGTTGAGTGATGTCCAGCAGAACCTTCGTCTTAATAAAGTGCCCCGAGATCCCCTGGATGGCAAAAGCACCGGCCTCCAAGACCTTCCCAATCTTCGACCCAGCCACCCTCTTCCCGAAGGCCACAGTACGACAGTGGTTCGGAATCCCCCACATCTGGACCCAAAACGGGACCATGATGAAGGAATCGACCACCTCCTTGGTAATTTGACACCAAGGCTTCAATTGCAGCACCCTCTCCTTCACTGTCCATGGCGATCTCTTAAGGACCCAATCCCGATCAGCTTCATCTGCAAAGAAGAATTGCAGAAGCCCCCTTTCAGCAGCAAGAACCCTGACCTCCACCGCACAATTCCATTCACCATTCACAATCTTACTGATAACAGCCAGACTCGGCGGGTTATCCATGAACAACCTCCCCAGCAAGCTCATCTTTGCCCACTGCACACCTGCCGCCACGTCTTCCATGGTGAACTCCACAACTTGATCCATAGCCAAAGCCTGGATCCCAGCAGCCACTTCATCAACTTGCGGCACCTCCTCTGGCTTCTCCTCCCTATCAGCAGTCTTCTGCACCCCATCTTCTTGAGCCTGTGGCGAAGCCACCGTCATCACCGTCATCTGCTTTGGTATCCACCACAGGAGCAGCCACCTCCATAGCTTCGCTACTGGTCACCATGCTTCTTCTCCTTCGTAATCTCTGGATACACCAGTACAAACCCCCCAATAGTCCCATTAAGACCACAACTGGGGTACCCATAACACAAATAATACCCACCCAACTAAATTGAAAAGCGGTATGCATACCTTTCTTGAATCGACGCCAACGAGAAGGATACTCCTGCCGCCGATACAGTTTCCACCACTGGCTACACTGGGTTCTGTTTGGTGGACTGGCAAATCGCACCTGGGACACTAAATAGGTCCACTTCGGAGCTAAGCAGAGAACCGTGCTCTGGACGGTCTCCTGATTCGGGTTTATCCCTTCTGATCTGCGAATCTGGGTGTATCGGGCGAAAAGATCGACCTCCATTCTTCGCCGATTAAGTTTCGCCGCTCCGCCAATTTCTTCTCCTGTTCGCCGATGAAATCGCCCTTCTCCTCTGCTAGGAGACCATCGGTTTGTCTTCAAACCAACCTCACCCTCTCTACATGCAGAGGGGAGTACCAATCTTGCCACTAACCTCAAAGCCATCCATTGAATCCCCGCCGCCAAAACCTAGGTGCTTCGAGAACCGTCGCGGAGAGCCCAAAGAAGAGAGAGGCGAGAGCGTTTTTCATTTTTCCTTCTAAAAAAATTAATGTCTAAAGTCGCTCTCCGAGTATTCAATTGGGTTCCTTTGTGTTTAATGTCTTTTTCCCCTTCCACCATGAACAACATAAGTAGCATAAGTAGGAGCTTCAAACACAAACGACTAAATCAAGAAATCTTCAGCATGGAAAAATATTATAATTATGCCAAATGGGTATAAAGAGTTAAAAACTTAAAACCCAAATGAAAAGCAAATCATATCAAATAAAAAACATCCACCCCCCAAAAATAATGGTGTCATCTCTTTGTGAGACCAAAACCATCCCTTGTATCCAAACCCCATGTGTCTGTATTTTGAGTTATTTTTTTCTCTGATTCTCTCTTTTTTGTACTTAATTTTAAGAGCTAATAATAATAAAAAGATCATTATCTTGTTCAAACTTGAGCCCACAAAAGCTTAGCTAGTCTCTATCACAAGTCTCTTCCTCTCTAATTACTCTCCAATGAGGCCCCCTAACAAAACAAAATATCCCACTTTCTAATTTCCAACCAAACAAAACAAGCAAACTTCCAAATCATTTTCCATGTTGTTTGTGTTTTGTCTTAATTAACTACTTTTTGCCTTTCAACGAGCTTGGAACTGTTTGATATGGGCCGGCATTGATCTTCTTAGATTTTTTAGTTTGTTGTCGATTTTAAGGACTAGAATCGTTGAATGGGTGTTATCTTCTTTACAACATCGATGATCAGATTAAATTTTTTGTATTGATTCTTATGATCGGTTGACATGATTTACAAAATATTAAATTGATATGACAAATATGTCAAGATATAACAAAACTGCAATAACAAATTTATCACAATATATCATCGATAAAATCATATCAACTTTCTGCTATACAGTTCATTAGTACGGAGTGGTATCACAAATGCTAAAATAAAACTATTCATTTATGCATATTTACAAATACAACTACTAGTCTTCAACTTGAAGATTTTATATTCGAATTCATTAAGTAATATCGAATAATAATAAAAAACAAACATACGACACCCTTTATAAATTAAAAGAAAAACTATTCATGTATGTTTATTACAAAACAGAAAAATATATGCTTGAAAGCAGTGGAGGGTTTGTTGTGCGCATCCACATGCTCATGTGTCGAAAGCGAATTGAGATGGTCACCTTATAACACTAGATCTAGCTTATAACTAGGAGGAGATGTAACTTTTTTTCTTTTATTAACTAATTCCATTCCCACTTGCAAACTATAAATTCCAAGATTGAGGTTATTTATATTATTTTTACTATATCCCAGATCGAGAGTAGTGGGTGAATGCGAGGTAATTTATCCTTCTCTTTTCTTATAAAGTTATTTTTCACAATTAACTTTAATGACAGTAAATTTGAACATGGGACTTCTTTGATTTGTGAATTTAATACTTTTATCACTGCTGATTTGTATATGATGAGGCATTACTTTGACAGGGGGACAGGTTATGGTGGATACTTAGTGTTAGTAACCACCGTGGTTACTAGGGATAAGAAGGGTATTTTGCTTCCATCCTAATTCAAACTACCATTTTAATTACGCAATTAATTAGGGAGAGATAATTACAGTAACTAATTATTAGGTAGTTTAATCAGTGTAGGGCTTTCCAAAGTCCCCGATTTTTTGCCGGTTCCTATTTCTGCCGTATATCAGCGTAGGGAGAGATAATTACGTACTTGTTTTCGGATTGGTATTGTTTCAGAATAATGGTAGTCCTTACATTGGTATATGGTGGGGTGTCATTGGTAGTAATTTTTTTATTGGATTGGTATTGGTTCTGACTTTTGTATCGCATTGGTATTTGTTTGATTGGATTGGTATTGGTTCTGACTTTTGTATTAGTTACTACAATGGTAGTGATTTTTTGTTATATTTGCATCAAATGGTAGTGATTTGTTAGTTGTAGTATGAGTTATTGCAATGGTAGTGATTAATTGTTGTTTTACAAATTGCAGATCAGGTGTATAAAGTTCTCCCGGATGACAAATCGACATGGCATCATTTGAGATTTGAAAATAGGGAAGCATTTGTCAAGTTCTACAAAGACTTCGCACACTGGAGGGGTTTTAGAGTAAGACGTATTGGACAACAGACTGGAAACTACCATTCACAAGGATGCAGAAAACTACCAATGCATGAAAGGAAACTACCATTCATAAAAACAAAAAAGTACCATCCCAACATAAAACTACCATTCCACTTCAAATAGCACGGTTTCACAGACAGGTGGAAACTACCATTGCATGAAATGAACCAAACATTCGACAACCTGAATGCTACCATTCTAACAGAACATTACCATTCCACACCACACATGGAAAATTACACGTGGAAAAGTACCCAAGAGTTTGTATTGAAAACCCTTCTATAAGTTATGAACAAGAGAAATGTTTTGCGAACTAAATTCCTGATGATGTTTGTAGTGGCAAGGTTATAAAAAAATATTTTGTCCACGAGGAAGTAATATTTAAATCAAAAACTCAAGCATGCGATGAGGACTGTTCATGTTGAGTGTAGCCTCGGGCCAAACCTTCATGGTTATCAACAGCATGCTCAGCCAGCTCATCTAACAATAAGTTGTTGTCATCCTCGATTATGCTTTTCACGAACTGGACAATCCTAGAGCTGAAGTAGGAAGCCCCTTGCCATTCATTCTTCCATTCGGATAGCAGCCTCCCACTTCCAACTTGAACCTGACGACTGCTGTAGGTAATAGGTTCCTTGTGTTTTGAAGCCCTACGATTGGGGTTCTTGGTTCTTGTCATTCCTAAAATCTGGAAAATGAAAGGTAGTAACATTAATCAAGCATCACAACCGTTGCATGGATAAAAAACTACCATTCCAAATGAAGACTACCAATCCACATCAAACACCATATTCACATGTATGCAGAAAACTACCACTGCATGAAAGGAAACTACCATTCAAAAAAGCAAAAACTACCATTCTAGAATAACACTACCATTCAACATAAAAAAAAAGCACGGTTTCAGAGACAGGTGGGAACTACCATTCACATGTATGCAGAAAACTACCAATGCATGAAAGGAAACTACCATTAAAAAAAACAAAAAACTACCATTCTAACAGAACACTACCATTCCTCATCAAAAAAACACGGTTTCACAAACAGGTAGATAACGACAGGCAGCGGGGAGGCCTGGCGCGACGTCGGGTGAGCGCAGAAAAGGCGGCCATCGCCATCGTCTATCAGAAAAGGCGACCCTCAACATAGTCCTCGAATTCATCGGCGATCCGTCCATCGCAGTGCTGGGAGTTGATCAGTTCAATTGATGACTCTTCCCTTTTCTCTACCCTGCTCTTGCTTTAAGTCGCCGATTTAACTTGGCGGTGAGAAGGTCCGCTCGCCGCCTCTCTCTTAACAAACGAAATGGAAGAAAAAAAAAGGTAGAAGAGAAGATTGACTCGGCAGACGAGGGTGAGCGCGACGGTACTGGTGGCTCGTCCGTGGCCGGAGAAAGAGGTGAGAGCGGCGGTGAGGGAGGGAGAAAGTGAGAGAGCACGGAGAAAAGTATTTAGGGTTTTGGGTGATTATATAGAAATTCATATTTTAAAAGTAGTAATTAGGTGTGCTTATTATTTTTGTTCCAAAACTATCCCTAATTAATCCTGATGGTCAATTAAAAAATGGTGAGAATAAGGGTGGAGATATAGGTAGCCACCGTGGCTACTAAAAAACCACTAACCATGCTAACGCATTCCCTTTGACAGACATCACTCCACTTGAGTGATGTTGTTCTAAGGTAAATTTTGGATTGTTGACCTCACATAGCATGATCGATAAAGATTGAAAATGTGCTAATGGGAGGTTGACGCGACTCACGAGGACCTAACCACATGCAACCGCAAGTAGAATAAAGACACTCCGCTCTAGGGCTGGCTATTTGGTTCGGGCTTTTTGATTTTATCCGAAACCGGATCGTATAACCCGGACCGAGATCGGACCGGGACCGGATAGCAAACAATCCAATTCAATTTTCGGGCCTAGATTTGAGGTAATAAATAGTTTGGGATCGGACCGAAAATCGATAAAAGACCAGATAAGAGAACCCAACACCAGAAATTTAACCTCCTCACCCTTTCAGGCCTTAGGCCACTCAAATCCCCCCTCAGGCCACTCAAATTCCCACAAGCTCAATCTAAAATCAAGACCAAATTAAGACTGGACCGGATCAAGACCGAACTGGATCCAATCCAATCTTTGATCCTTATATTCTCGAAAAAACCGATATAAGACCGGATCAATTCGGATCAATTTAACTGGACCGGACCGTATAGCCACACCTACTCCTCTCACTCGAAATGCTACAAGCCTACAAGAGTGATCCCACGGTCACCGGATAACCCTGCTGATGGTGACAACGCTACTCGGTAATCGAACCTGTGACATTTAGGTCTTCCACACAAATGATGGACCGTTTACAAGCCCTCATTCATGTTTGTGGAATTTTTTTGTTTCAAACATATCGATGAGTTTATTTACTAGGTTAAATACACTTGTATATTCAAAGTTTTCACGCTTGTGTCAATAATATCCAAATTTTTCGAAATACCACTTGTAGGGGTGGAGTTGCAGGGGATCACTAGCCTATTGAATCAAAATTTTCTATCATCTTCCTTTAAAATCGATATCAATCTGAGGGGCGAGTTAGCAAAGTTCATACATATCGTAGAAATAAACGAGACTACACTACACTTTGAGAATCAAATTATGGCTCTGTTCTCTTCATGATACGATACATATGTAAAATACGATCCAGTCAATCTTGGCTAATTTGCGCCCAATGAAGTTCAAGATAACCAAGTGAGAATGAATTGGGTCGGAACGATTTTGAATGAACTCAACAGCCAACTATAGAACCACCATGATAGAAACACATTGATAATGAGTAATGACAACAATATTGGGATAATCCCAATGCATGAACTGTGTTGGGCCATTGACACTCTGTTTGGGAAAAGGGGTAAATGGGAGGAGGGTGCAAATGTGAGGGGTAAACACAGTTTCCAGCACATTTGCACCTGTTTGATTAATTTGGAACAATAAGGGGTGCAAAACGGGAGTGCAAATTTACTGTTTCGGCTAACCCCCCGAATTGGGGTGCAAGGGAAGGAAGGAAGAGAGGGGGAGGGGGAATTATGGAATTTTATTTTTCTAATTGTGTTATATATAATTATATAGTAATTAATATTATCAATTTCTTCTTTTTATAAATATCATTAATGTAAACATTATTTGGGGTTGACCATTTGACTCTGAAAACAAGTTTATCAATGTTCGTCAAGTCAAATCTAGATCTCTTGGTTGAATCGAATTTGCATTGAAAATTAGAGATACGAGGTGTTTGTGGAAAAGATAGAGAGAAATTGTTTGGTTAACTCAGTTTATTTGACTAAATAGTTAAAACTTACAAATTTGAACGTGTTTGACTAAGTTTGACAATTTAAGATTAAACTAGACACGAAAACCCTATATAGGATGACCAGTTACGAGTTGAGCTTTGAGTTTTGAGATCGCTCGATCAATGATTATTACAATTGTTATAATTAATTATTATTTGAGCATTATTATATAATAACTATTTTTAGTAAAGTATATTTATTATTATATAGTAATATTTATTTTATTATTTTATGATAATATTTTAAAATCTTAAAATCTATTTTATAATCTTGAAATCTATTTTAAAATTTTAAAATCTACTTTAAAATAATATAATTACTTACTTTTCACTCTATTTGCACCCCCTACTTTTTCATCCAAACAACAATTTACCCCTCCACTTACAACACCAGCAATTTGCACCCCCAGCCAGCAATTTACCCCTCAACTTGCACCCCTGCAATTTTTGCAGTCCCTGTTGCCAAACAGAGCGTGAGAGATCGATTAGCACTACTGGTGCTTTCTAGTTCTAGCTAGTGGGATTTGCCTATTTGGCCAAAAGGTCAAAATCGGTTGTCCTGTGTGCGGCTTTTGCTATGTATGGAAATAAAAGAAACCATAAACCATAGCAGAATTGGTATCTACATTACATCTATCTCTCTGAGATCGCACCAAACTTTTCCAGAGCAAAATATACGAGTACGATCGACCACGTATTACAGGCTAGCAAACGCCAGTCCTCTCACAGTTTGGAGTACTACGTACAAATTATTAGCGAACGTTTTGGTACTCAAAATAGCCATATAATCTGTAAAATATTTTCTCATGGAGCAATAGAAGATATCTCCCTTGTTTATTGAGAATATTTGTGGGACATGTGTCCTATTTTTTTGTATATAATTTCCCTGCAGCAAACGACCAAGGTGCATGGTTGTACCTAGAGGTAAAAAGAGAAGGGAAAAACTGAAGGGGGGTACGGTTTTTTGTTGGAAAGCTGGAGAAAATATGTATACTTCAGTGGCCAGATCTGGGTATATGGCCCTTTCCAGAACTGGGTTTTTTATTGAGGATAATAAGGTTTCGAACTCTTTTACGATATTGGGTTGAATTTTGGAGCACTCGTATCATACAATTTGAGTTATCACACATAAAGAGCTTTTGATGTGGTGTTAGATTTTTTTTGTTACGGAAAGACTGAAGATTTCAATCGATCTGTAGTATATTCATTGAGGAATTTACCTTCGTGTTGGATCGGGTGTCATAGATTGGCAAGCTAAATACTGGTTCCTTAAATAATTGACTTTGTTAATGCAATGAATGATAACTATTGACTAGTATTAGTATGCACTTTAAATTTTGTGGATTTTTCAATCAACAATTTTTTCTGTGTAATTATGTCATGAAATATAATTGTTTAGTATCAAAGTTTGTAACTAACTGTACTTTAATTGAGTTGGTGTGTAGTTTAGAATGTATCAATAAATCTTTTTAGACTAGCCAATAACAAATGCTTGACAAAGTTTTTAAATGGACTGGTGTGTACTTTAGAATGTATCAAGAAATCTTTTTAGACTAGCCAATAACAAATATGCTTGACAAAGTTTTTAAATGGATTGGTGTGTACTTTAGAATGTATCAAGAAATCTTTTTAGACTAAATGTGTTCTTGCTTTTGCAGCCTCTTGTCTACTGTTTTGGATTTTGGCTTTCTCTGTACTTGTTCCGCTGATTTATTTCTTTCTTAATTAATGAATTACACCATTACCAAAAAAAATCTTTTTAGACTAGCCAATAACAAATGCTTGACATATTTTTTAAAATGTGTGGTGTATATAAACCCTGCGGACCTTTATTTTCATCGGGTTTTGATGATCGGTTTGACTATGAAATAGTAGGTTCTTAATCTCACAAGTCACACCGTTGTGATCATTTGCTTACAGGAAAAGAAAGGTCAATTGGGATAAACATATTCATTTATGATGTTTGTCACAAAATTGTCACCAAGCAGAGAAATTGCAACAAAACCCTAGTTTAACCGATTGAGTTGTAATAACGCAGTGAATGTCCCGAGTTTTAGAAACACGTCAATATAGCCAAGTCCAACCTTTCCAATGCGAGAACGGATAGAATCTCATGTTCGTATATTTGCTCACGACCCAATGGTCAGAGTACTTTGTTAGTTGCAATCAAGTTGGAAAGAGTAAATATGATTTGTGAGGTGCATTATATCATGCCAATTTTTAGTGAAGAATCTATTTGACGGGTTGATCCATTCCAACAAACGCCGAACTATACACACATCGAATTGCTTTGCTAGAAACGACTCAACTAGTTAGCTAGTTTGTATCTTTGGAATTGTGACTCAACTAGCTTAGTTAGTATCTATCTTGTTGTGACTTTTAAGTCCTATATCCATAGTCCAATGACCATTCATGCATGAATTTGAACCCAACTTGAAACCGTGTGATGGGAAATGTAGGGACTAGTTAACAAAATGTTTTTCGTACTAAGGAATCCGAAATAGGTTTGGAGTTTGAATTGAGTGAAGGGGAAAAGAAGGGAGGTGAGGTAGCTGGGGAGAGTGTCTGGCTGTCTCATAACACAATTAACCATAGAAAACAAAGAGAAACCCTTTCAATCAAATCCATGTTTCTCAAGTACTAAACATTCAACGCCTAGCACCATGTAGCTAAGAAAAGAAACCAAAGACGTCTCGTAATAAGGACTCGTTCCAGTTGTAAAACAACTCATTTCATTATTTCCCTTCAGGCTTCAACCCACCCACCAGTGTGAAACAAAGCATTGCCCCCACCACCTCAACCGCTCTCCAATATTATGTCTATCATGATTTCCCTATTCTTTTTCACGGCGACCCACCTAAACAGAGGTAAATTTTAACCATCGTTGTTATCGATCGACAATCGGGAATAGAAAGTGATTTTAAATATGTGGTGATTTTTAAATATATGATATTCGACCATTTTTTTGTGTGTGTTTACATCTGAAATATTTTTAGCTCCATTATTACATTATTGCGGCGTTGTGAGGTTAACGATGCCGCGAACTAAACAATGCCGCAATGGCATGAGATTTAGTGATACTTGCGAATCTAAACGACATCGCGAGCTAAGTGATTTTACTAGTTCGGCGATGTTGTGGAGGCAAACAACAACGTCGTTTTGCCCAAACTAGTTTGGGAATCCGACGACTTCGCATCCAGGCCATGTGTCGTGGCGTTTCGAACCACGATGTTGACTTTACAGGCTCGAGCTCGATAAGAAGGAGAGCAACGTCGCAGTGCAGCTCAAGGTGGGAACCAATAACATCGTGTGGTTAACGAGGGTGCTAGCTCGACAATGTTGCAAGATCAACGATGTTGCGAGTTTCGACTTTGGGTGGTCTACGACGCCGAGAGATCAACAATCTAGCGGGGAGTACGCGGTGGCGAGGAGTGAAACAACAATGTTGTTTTAATCGAAGCAGTTGAACGGATGCGAAGTAGTTGAAGACTACAACTTCGTGAAGAAGGATGTAGAAGGTGGGTGACAAAGGCGAGGCGTTTCATAGCGTGAAGACTACGGAAGTGATTTAGATAAAATCACCGGAGCAATGAGAGAGAGGAAGACCAAAATCAACACAAAACAACATTTATCAAACTTTATCTTTTCTCTCTAACTTTCTTGTGGAGCTCTCCTTCCAAGAAGGATCTCCATAGTCGTCTCCATATGAGTAGTTTTAACGTAGATTCTCAAAAACTCAAATATATTCGTTCGAACATTGTTTGGAGATATGTGAACCGTAGTTACAAAGAAAATTAAAAATAAGAATGGTTGAGAGAGAGGATTGACTCGCCGGACCATATACATTTTCTAAGACGTTAACCACGAAAATAAAAACCTAGACGGGCTCGTGACAGATGTAGACTTGATAGCTTCAATGTCGTCATTTGTACTCGAGTGAATCCCAAGGAACTTAGTGACAAATGGAGCATTAATAAGTACTTTTGCAAGGTAATTGGAACCGCTTGTGGGGGTGAAAATGAAAATGAGATTGATTCCAAATGCAAGGCAGAGTTGAAATTTTGGTATTGAGTTGATATGGTGGTTATTGCGCCCCCACTATACATCATGTCAAATGAATATGAGATTGAATTATTATTTGGATCTTCAATCCTATAATTACTTTGTGTCTCTCCCAGCACAACATGTGACGCCCCATACACAATCATGCACCATCCTTTCCAACACAACAGGTTCTCTTTTGGGGACACCCAATTCAATTCAATTCAATTCAAATGTGGGTTTCCTTACGTTGAAGATAAATCTTCTTTTGATCACCCTGCCTATTGATTGATTATTTTGCCAACCATCGTATATATCCGGTTACTCCAGATTGTATGTACCAACTAAATGAACTATTACATTATTCATAGGTTAATTCAGGGTGCAAATTTCACTATTCTCGGTTCTGACATTAGCATTCGACATCTCTGTTTGTCTCTTGAGATATAGATGATCCACAATTGACACGAGAAAATACAATCCTAATTAGGAATGACAACGGGTCGGGCCGGGCGGATAGTGCATATCCGTTACCCTACTTAAAATAGTTCTGGTTTTAACCATATCCACATAAGAATCGGGTAGAAAATCAAAACCATGCCCATACCCGTTTGGGTTTCGGGTATCCATGGTTATTCACGAGTAATCATTTATCTTTATAAATCCAACCAACATGTTAACATTCACGCGTATACTCACATTATATAAGTGAAAAAGTACGACAATAATTCACTAGAACGAAGAAAATTAATTTCAAACAAACAATTTCATGAACACATTATATTTGTATGCTAAATATTCTAAATATAGAATATGTTGAGAAAAATAATGATAATTTCTAGACTAAATACATATGAATGTGTATAATCGGGCGGATCTGGGTTGGATAGTGAGAAAACCATGCTCACTCATTATCCGCAATAAATGCTTCGAGTTCGAATTTTACCCTATTCAATTATGTCGGATTCGGACGAACATCCACGATTTCGGATATTTTTGTCATCCCTAATCCTAATCCTAATCCTAATCCATACAAGAGAGTGCAGCCTGTTTCCTTGATCCATGCGTTTCGGGGTTGTTTGTTTCCTCGTGACATGTGCTCCATAACGTTATCTAATAAGCGTGGTGCATGTTCCTTCTTACAATTGAAGATTTTACATCGCCTGTCTCAAATGTGTTTTTGAATAGTAAGATTAGTATGGATAATTTTACATTCTAGTGACTGTGTCATTTTATTTTCCGGTTGATCCAGCAACCGAGCCAACTACATACACGAGAGTGCTTATCTGAGGGGGAAAAAAAGGATATCATTGGCGAAATCATGAGTTAGAGTGAGGAGCGACGGATAATGATAAAGTGCAACAATTTCGCACAATTAAACCTAAATGTTGAAACTTGAAAAGGGCCATTACTCTCTATCCAACCATTTTTCTAGTGTTTTCTAAACATTCGAATATAATCACATTATAATCGTAGATAAAAAAAATATAGAAGAATGAGGAGACTGTAACTTCTTCTAGACTACACAAAGCTTCTCCATTGAGTCACGTCCAGTTCAATGCAAATTTACTGTAGAGATCTTTAAGATAATACTTTAATTATTACCTTTACTTCAAATACTGTCATGCACGCGGCGACTAAAAGACTAGAGAGCAAGTAATTGGTCATGCACTTTCATCAACATTCATTAATCACCCATTCAACTCTTGAGTCAATCAATCAAGCTTTAATCACGTTGAGACCCTAATCCTAATCCCCACTCAATCATCAGCAAATCTCCAACCAGTCAAAAAAGGCTAGTTAAAGGCCCTTTTGCCAATATCCCATATCAGAGTTAAATCATCAACTAATAGAACCTTGATAACAAGGATGTCGTTTGCCGATTTGGGCTTTAGAATGTTTTTGTGAGATTGATGCGATAATGTTTTTTTTTTTTAGAATACATGGCTTGTTTTTATTTTTATGCATTTATATTTGATGGTTGAAACAATTATTTAAAATGAACGATTATATAATTTTAGCTTTCAGTTGTGATTAGTTGGATTGTTTAGTTGACATTGCTGTCTATTTTTTGTGTTCCAATTTGTCCTTTAAAATACACTTTTGTATTGATAAAGGGTAGAAGTGACATGTTTTAACTGGGACGGGATACGGTGACTACCCTAAGGGGTTGTCAGATTAACAACCAAGGGTATTTTGGGTATGAAAAAAGGAATATATTAATTACCTCTTTTGTATTAATTATATTGGGAATTAAAAACCCATATTAAATACAATTTTTTTTAAATTTAAATCATATACATTAATATCTCTATCTATCTCACTCTCTCTCTCTTCCTTTCTCAAGCGGCCACTCCGCATCGACTGACAAACTTTTTCTCCGACGAATTCTCTCCGGCAGACTCCCTCCGGCCAATGCAGTCAAAATCGCGCTTTAAAACTTAAAAACTTACGGTTTTACGCTTCTAGGACACCAAAACGCTTTCGTTTCCATATAAAATCTTAAGTGTATAAAATCGGGACTAACATGCGCTTTAAAGCTTAAAAGCTTACGCTTTTACGCTTCTGGTTCACTAAAACGCTTTACGCTTTTACGCTTCTAGTTCACTAAAGGAGTATTCTATTTATGAAAATACTTATATTTTAAAGGTAAATCACAAAAAATATGATATATTTGAGATTAAAAATACATATCAAGTACTTGGGTGCATTCTTAGTTTCAATAGAGTAATCTAATTCACCAACTAGGCCCTTCCCAAACTAGCATAAAGGGGAATGTAGCTTATTGTTAAGATATCTGTTTATGAACTTATTGTTAAAATGTTATGAGTTTCTCAACTTTAGACATGAATTACAAGTATTTATTAACTTATCTAAACTATGTCCACTCATATTTTATCGTACTTAACACATTTTTCGTTATATTAAAGTATGCGTCAAAAACTTACGTTTTTACGCTTTGATTCTACGCTTTACGATTTTACCCATTTTCCGCTTCTTGGTAGAATCGCGCTTTTGACTGCATTGCCTCCGGCAACCTGAAAAAATGTACCAGTGCGTTAAAAAGTGTACCAATCTATTCGTCTACTGGTAATTAGTAAACCAGTGCTAGTGGTACGCTACCAGTACGTTAAAAAATGTACCAGTACTAGCGGTACCAGTAAAAAATGTACTAGTACTAGTGGTACGCTACCAGTACAACGCTACCACTACCGTATTGGTAGCGGTACCAGTAGAGAATAACACAACGCTACTAGCACTGGTAGCACTACCACTAGCATTGGTAGCGGTACCAGTAGAGAATAAAAAAAACAAACAGATGATAGTGGTACCAGATGATAGGGGAGCCACTGGTATTGGTACCAGTGAGTAGTGGTATTGGTACCAATAGCGCTACCAATAGTGCTACCAGTGGTATTGACGTGGCCGACAGCAAGACGAATAAGAAGCAGAACGATGGAGGTTCAGCCAAAGACATGGATGGTTATCAAAAAGGGACTTTGTGGGTCTTCTTCTGGAAGTGTGATTTAGGAGTAGCGAAGCAGCAGCTCGCCATCTACCCATTAACTCTAGACGGAAGACGAAGAGGAAGGAAAAATCAATGGGGTCTTGAAATTTGAGGTTTCGAAGGATGTGGGCTTCTTCGAGTTCCTAAGGTGGCTGGCAGCTGCATATTGAAACTAGTGATTCCAATTTGATTGGAGGCCGATTCGTACTTGTCCTTCCTCACTCTTTGCCACGACCCTTCTTCTTCTTCTTCTTCTTCTTCTTCTTCTTCGTACAAGCTGAGTATCGACCTACGATATCCACCTCGCCTTTATTTTTCTGCCGTGGGGTGGCAGTGGGCATGGGAGAGGAAGAGGGAGCTGCGGTGGTGGGAGGGCTGTGGCGGCGGAGAGAGGGGGAGGAGAGACGGTGATGTCTACGGGAGAGAGGGAGGATGGAGGAGTTAGGGTTTTTGTTCTTTTTATATGGTAGGGTGAATGATTGGGTGTGGTAAATTTTTACCCTTCCAAAAATATCCTTCCTTTAATCTTAACCGTTAATTTAAAAAAAAAAAAAAAAGAGACAGGAAAGAGAGCGTATCCAAGGCTATGAAGTGGGTTGTGAATCTAACAACCCCTTAGGGGTTGTCATCGTATCTCGTCCCGTTTTAACCATTGAGTATAGTTCTGATGTAGACAAAGAAATAAAAAGAATTTCATAGTGCAAATACCCATTCGGTAATCAAACCTTACCCAATTGTGACAAATGATGTCCTCATAAGCAATACAAAAAAGTGGTAGATGAGGAGAAGTAGTAAGAAAATTTAAAAAGGTACACAACACAGCGATCCTCCCTCTCTCTCTTTCGCTAATGATTTTCGAGATCTTTAGTTGCCCCACGAAGGATTATTTATATGATAAACTAATCCTCAAATCTTGAGAAAGAGGAGATTTCCCCTTTGATATGGAAGTCGCTATTTTTTAAACCTGCAAAAGAGGATCCAGTGGTTTCACAAATCATTAGTCGCAAGCAGCTAATAAGGGAAACTAAAGAAAGCATGCCATTAGGACAAAGCTGCTTAAGAAAGTTCTTTTTGCCCAATCATAAATACATTGAAGAAGCACCTATTTGTCTTTTGCTTATTAATGGTTATGAAGACAAAGGAATTTTACTATGATTTGGTGCTATATATTTTTACTTTTATGATACAACTTAAAATTATATCTTTAATGTTATGGTACAATTTCATATTGTATTTTTTATGGTACAAACAAGCCACTTAACTTAAAATTATACCATTTAGACTACTGCACTTTGTCCCGACTAACAAACAAGCCACTTAACTTTCAATTTTAACCAACTACTTATGCCACAAGAAGTTTAACGAACACAGTAGTTCTGCCAATGAAGCTGTCCCCTCACTATGAGCTAAAACTGAAAGTTCAAGGACTTGTTTGTTAGTTGACCAAAGTACAGGGGGCTCGAAGGGTAACTAACCATTTTAGTGTTGGAGCACTCACACTCGTCTCTTATAATCCAATTCACTAAAATCCCTTCCTTCTTCATTCAATATTTGACTGAAAGAAAGAAAGAAAAGCGGGGGGCAGCTGCACAGCAGGACCCCTTCCTCCCTTTGATTAAGTCTAGGGGCTCTAGGAGCCAAGAGGGGTCATAATGAGAAAGAACTGATAAGAAAGAAGGCCACCATTGTAGACCATCATCACCAATTCAGCCTGCAATGCAATAACAACAGTAATTAATCGATTGTACTCTCATTCCATTCCACCACCCGTAAGAAAGAGAAACCAAACCACCCCAGAAGAAAGATAAAGAGCCCTGAAATTTTTTTTTTTTTTTTTTGACAAAGAGGTAGCTTATATTGCACTTCAGAAAAATTTGGTTACAAAGAGGGAAAAACATCATGAGATCTGGAAACAAGAGGGGGGAGATGAATGACTCCATTTTGGTACGAATAGCAGTGTTACATACACATACATACATGGGGGAGATGGACGTCCTTCATAAAATGATGGATGCACTGTCTTTATCTCATCTCTTCCAAATTTACATGCATAGACATGAGAACTTTTTACTCACCTTCTTTCTACTGTCAACTGTGTTTTTTTTTTCTCTCTTCTGAAATATCTCTGCCTCAGGTTTCCCCTTGCTGCCATGCCCAGTCAGCCCAGTGAGTGATGATTATCATGACCATGATCAATTCTCAACTGGGTAATCTGAAAAGCAAAAGAAACAAACACAACAGAGCAAGAGAGGGAGAGAGAGATGCAATAAATCCACACTCCTGCTGGGCTATCAACCCCCTCCTGATGAGTACTACCCAGAATCTAGATTGGCTTTCTCTCAGTGGTCCTCTGAACATTTCTTGGGGGGTAAAAGGGAAGATACCCCTTTCCACCGAGTTGATGGCAATATGCCCAAAAATGTGTTCAATGTTTCATCCCAAAACAATTATGTGCTTTTGTAAAATACAAACTACTACCAAGGGTGGAAAAAAGAAAAGGAAGAGAAGAAAACCCAGTAAGCTAGCTCCTCACATGTTTACATCACTTTCTTGGCAGAAAAAAAGTTTTAGGAAGTCACAAGCTGCTGCCTGCCTAGCAACCCAGCATGTAAAGCCAATATCAAATAGGTAAACAGTCGACAGTTCTCTCTCAGCATTATGTCAACATATCTATCTACTCCATCCTTCCTCAGGTATCAACTTTTTTGTACTAAGTTTGGTCATAAACTTATAAATGAGCAGCTTGACCGGTCCAATCCGCAAATAGATTGACCAAGGAAAGACTTGAATTGAATAAAGCTGTCCAGAATCCAGTCACCACACTGTTCTTTGTTATCTACAACGTGATAAAGCAGAGCCATAACAGAAGCCTCGTGAAGGCAAAAACTACCCCAACCGTTGTAAGATGGTTGATTGATACCACAATATCCCCTGTTGGTTCTTGATTCCTACAGTAAAGGAGTTGCTGCAACCATTATAGCTTATAAGAAATAAAGCATTGGAGGGCATATGGTTGAAAGAGCATTTACCCATTTTTGGCTTCCATGGATTTGTCCTATGACTAAAAGCCAAACACAAAAAATAGGGCATTAATCATGGGAAAGCAAAGAATACTAACAAAAACCAAGAAATGTGGATACTAATATCACAAGTGGACAACGGCCACAGCCTCAACACCATCTTCATTGCCAAAGCAGAAGAAGGAAAAAACACCAGTACTACCTAATCATCATTCTGAGTCAAATTTGGGGACCAGACACTAAGAAGACTCAATAATAATATAGACAAAAGCCCCAAAAGCAGTTCACAAATCAAATAGCTTTAACTTCCATGGTAGGTCCCTGGCATGAAGGGGGAGATTAGGAAAAAGGACCATTTTTATTGCTACAGGAGAAAAGAAATTGCAGAGTGCAGAGAAGAGTGAGTAAACACTATTCGAAATTCAAAGCATGCACATGCATCTCCCTTTCAGCTACAGAAACTAGAAATAGACATGGGAGAAGTAAATGAACAAAAGGTAGATGATTGGTATAAGTATCAAGTCGTAGAGTTTGTTAGTGAAGACAATACAAGCTAACAACTATTAACCACCACATTTACTTCCTTGCTTTGAGAGAGTTCCCCGTTTCTTTCATCTCTAATCTATCAAGCCTAACATCCTCATTCCTTCACTCGACTAAAGTCAATCATCAATCAGTCGATCAATCTCAATCGATAATCAGTATGTTGCCTGCATTACATAGTAAACTAGCTCCTAACGGTTGAGTGATTCTCAAACTCATCAGACATTCACCCACAAGCTTCTTCATACAAATGATAACATAAAAGAGACACCTTTAGCTATCAAGATACCTATAAGGCCAGAGAAAAAGGAAGGCTAGAAGAACAAAGGCTGTGGGTTCCATACTCGAGATGCCACAAAGTGGCTGCCACATGAGCCATCCAATGCGCAAATTTAGCTACCAGCCACCAACTGCTGGTAATGTGCTCGACATGACAGTCTAAGAGACAGGTGGTATACTTACCAACCTATCTTATCAGTTCTGCAGGAAACATATCACGTTTACAGAGACAACCTTCAAGGGACATTGAGCAGGTAACTTTTCCTACTCCAAACCTTCACTCGTAAAGGAAGAGCATAAACCGAAGAATTTTTTTAAGGATCCCTAAAGTTCAAACGGCCCCCCCAACGAGTGATGTTTAACCTTGAATAAAGATGTGCAACTGTAGTTTTTCAGTCGGACAAACAACAACAAAAACTGTCGGAATCCCACAACATGTGGTATGCAAAGTTTCAAGCTTTATCCATCATCAACAAAAACCATCAAGTTGTGGTAACAAATGATATACAATTGAGACCGGTTAGATGAATACAGAGTGATGGTAAGTTTGAATTTCGGCAGAAAATCAACTATAAGTAGCATAATCTCAACTTTCACTCTACTTCAATGATCATTCGCACCTGAACCGAGATTTCATGGGACACTGCAAGAGGCATTTAGTCTCCCGCTACCCTCTGTTGATAGAAATCCAAAGAGAGTTCATCCAACCTTCTCCGCGGAGGAAGCACCTAATGCAGATTGCAAGCACTCAATTTGCCACCTCGACGACTTTCTGATAAAGTAGGGTGCTGCAGACATGTAAACCGAGCTATATTAGGATTGTATCAAATTCTCACTCCCAGTAATACTCATCAACAGAAAACACTCTCATCAAAGTGATTCCATACATAAGTCAGGATAATATTCATTCGCATCCATTCAGTAAACCAATGAATTTGAGAATCAATCCTACTTTTTAGCTCCAAAATGCAACTCCATTCGCTAGAAAACTAAGGATTTGCGGCATAGTCCTATAGAGATGGCAATGCGGCGAACTTTACCTTAGGAAATTCTCAAACCGCAGGAATCGAAAAGCAACAAGACCTTCAAGAACTCCCAAACACACCCCTGCCACAACATCAAGGAAGAAATGCCGGCCAAGGAAAACTCTAGACGATGCCGTAATCGCTGCCCAAGCGAAGACGCCAATCGCCACTATCTCCACCACTCTGCCCTCGTCACCACCAACAATCCACTGCTCAGCCAGCCCTCCGCCGGCCTTCAGCTCGAGCAGAGCGGCCTCAATTGCGGTCCCCGAGAGAGAAACCAATGATGCGACGAAGAAGACCCTGGTCGAGTGTCCGCTGGGGAAGGAGAATTTGTCGACGGCGACGACGGCGGACATGGAAGAGTGGTTGTAGGGCGGGCGCTGGCGGCGGAAGATGGCTTTGGTGAGGCCGACGACGGCGAGGTCGAGGAGGAGGCCGAAGAGCAGAGGACTGAAGAGAGGGAGGAGTGCCGGGGAGAGTGGGGAGAAGAGGAGGGCAAGGCAGATTGGGAAGGAGAATCGGAAGTCGGCGGAGATCTCGAGGAAGAGAAGGAGCGCCGTTGGGAAGTATGGATGGAAGAGGGTGTGGAGGAATCGAGATATCGCGGCGTCTACGGCGATGACGCGGCGGAGAAGCGGTAGCCCTGCCGCCATGGATGGTGATTTGTAATGGATTGGCCGACGGAGCTCTCTCTGCTCGGCGGTTCGGCAGCGGGGCGATGACCGTCGGCGGTTTCTCTCCTTGTGGAAGTTGTTTTGCCGTTTGGAATAGATTGATGACTAACGAACGACGCCGTTGCTTTCTTTGAATGCGAACAACAATTGTCCAGCCCAGTACACTGTTCTCTAGGTTATTCGTAACATAATAAAGGCCTTTTTCTGTGGGCGGAGCTCGTAGAGAAGCCCACTGGAATTGTTTTACTTTGGATTCTAAGAATAGATAGCTTCGGCCCAATTATTAAGAGAAACGGTGAAGTTTGTGACTCGTGAGCCGTGAGCTTGTGGAAAGTATTTCATGCAATCCCATCTATCTTTATTGATGACGAATTTCTAGGTTTAGGGTAGAAACATGGTAAAGGAAACCGTACCGGACATCATACCGGATTCCTTTCTGGTATGGTATTTTGTGGTACGACCGTGGTTCAACCGTTTTGTACCGGTAAATACCGTTTTTCACTATTGATAGAGAAATGAAATGCGATAGTATAAAAAATATAATCCATCAAAAAAAGAACCAAATAGAGCATTATACAACCACGGTGACCTATTTTCAACATAGAAAAATAGCAAAATAATATTCTTTTTTAATTATTTCCACATATTGGACGAGAATACGGAGAAATGAAGCTGAATCATAGACCAGGAAACCGGATCGTACCGGCCGGTTCAACCGGTCAAACCGAAAAAACCGGCCGGCACGGTAAAATCAGCACAATCAGGCCACCGTACCGCTTTTGGTCCAATTTCCGGTTGAACCGGCCGGTACGATCCGGTTTCCTGGTCTATGGGTAGAAATAGAGCCGAGAATCACAGAGGCAGCTAGCTGTTGCTCTGCTCTTTTTATACTGGTTCTGTTAAAGTCATTTAACGGTTAATCTACTGTAAATAAAACTATGGGTTGCACAACTATCAGTCTAGCCTTCTCTTTATGAAACTAGCGTGAGCCCCGGCCAGTTGGCCGGAGGAAAGTGAGTTATGAAATTTGATAATGTAATGGGGTGTATAGCTTATTGTTGTATAGTTTTTTTTGGGAAACACGTGATAAAAGTAATGAATTTTAGCAGGAAAGATATATGAATGATGCAACGAATCAAAAATCGGCCTTATGAACCAAATTCAAGTACCTGTTACCATGTGAAACAATATTGTTTCTAGTAATATGATGAGGTGGAGTAAGTTTTATAGAAACCAAATTCCAGAAAATCGAATAAAAAATCGCATATCTCGTCGGTTTTCAGGAAATGAGCATCTCACAATCGCTGCTAGCTTTTACTCGGCCCGTTGGCCGATTAATTTGTTTTATAAAACTTTCATCTTGTCGTCATTGTGCTTTCTGGTTTTTTTTCAGGCCATGATAAAATCTAAGAAAATCGAGAACGAACACAAGATTTGGGATAGGAACCGTCGTTGTCGTATCCCTAGAAAATGGTGGTAAACAAGAACTCACCTGCCAAACTGGTTAGAATTGAGATTTTTATCGAGTATCAGGGAACCATGTGATTATAAATTAGACTTGATCAAAACGGGCCAAAACTTGAAATTCAGCCTGTTTGACCGACCCATGCCAAATTCTAATTATTCTTTACTTTTAAACTTTCTATTTGAAAATAAAAAATAGTGAAAGAAAAGAGATGACTGCAATTCGCCATTTGCACATCACTTATTCGGGAATAAAACCATAGAAATTCAAAAAGAACTGAAAATGTTTATGATCGTTTTACTGTTTAAAATAATCAAATAGATCTTTCTGTTTAGTTTTTTACTAACAAATACCAAATGATTCCCTGTAAAATACACTATAATTTGATCATTATAATATCAAATAATTATATAATATATATTTGAAATGATAAAAATTGAACTAATTGGGTTGGTCGAGGTTGAACCATTGAATAACTTTAAAATACATTATATTTTAGCCACTAAGATATAAAATAATAGTTTATGCCAGAGAAAATAGCTTGTTTTAGAATGACAAACCAATGACGTTCATTTGTTTTACTTGATGGCAAAATCACATGTAGGTCAGGCCCATTCAACTCTTTTATTTTATGGTTAGCGGTTAGCCCATTAGATACCATGCATTAGTTTATTGTTAAATTTTTTTATTTTTGGCAATAAAAAGGAGTATTGTTTTTTCCTTTTCATATATATTTTATCACCACGGAGAAATAAAAGAGGTTAAAGAAAAAAATTGACACTCCTGGACCCGTTTAAATTCGCATGTGTACGGTAAGTTGGCCCGTTCCACAGAGGAAAGAGAAAAAAATTGACGCTCCCTATTCTACCATTCCTACAAATGCTTTTAGAATGGCAAACCAATGATGTTCATTTGTTTTACTTGATGGCCAAATCCCGTGTAGGTCAGGCCCATTCAACTCTTTTATTTTATGGTTAGCGGTTAGCCCATTAGATACCATGCATTAGTTTATTGTTAAATTTTTTATTTTTAGCAATAAAAAGGAGTATTTTTTTTTTTGCCTTTTCATATATATTTTATCACCACGGAGAAATAAAAGAGCTTAAAGAAAAAAATTGACACTCCTGAACCCGTTTAAATCCGCATGTGTACGGTAAGTTGGCCAGTTCCACAGAGGAAAGAGAAAAAAATTGTCACTCCCTATTCTACCCTTCCTACAAACGCTCGTGGAGCAGGGAATTTGAAATGGGGGAAGAGTTTTTTCCTCCCTGCTATTATATATATTTAATTCGAAAATATACAACAAATGTACTTAGTGTGATTGGTTATGATCCTTGTTTTTTCTTTAAAATGGTCCAAAATGTCTTTCCTACTTTCACTCTCGTTGCAGAAAATTTGAAATGGGGCTCCCGTTTTTCCCTTTGGTGTATTATAATATGTGTAGAGATGTCCTCCGTACAGAAACGGTTCTTCTTCACTTGACTGCATTTGAACCTTCTTTCTTATGCAATCCTTCTTCAATTCGGATTAGCCTGAGTTCATAACCCTGTCAATTGATAACAAATTTTGATGGGCCCGTGATAGTAACCATCGCCCTTGGTTATTCATAATAAGATCTGATTTTTTTTAGTGGTACCTGATCTAGGGGTAGGGTTTGTTAATATTTTTCCTTTTCCTAATCAGCTTGTATGTTCTTTGTTTTAGCCCGAAATTCACATAAAATTACAAAAAATGTATAAATGTTTCGCCTCCATCCTTGCTCAAACCCTCATATGCAACAACCAAAACAAGCAGTTAGATGAAGTGACATTGTCTCACGCAAAGCGGCTGCGTTTGATACTCTAACTAACGAGAAACAACATTCCCTTTAGCAACCAAGCCCTACAGACTACAGTTTTCCCTTTAGGACTTAGGAATGTTAACTGATTAATTAACTAAACCACAAGGAATTTTGTCCAACGTATGAGTTGAAATTCGGCACAATTATTGTGTAGAGACCATAAGTGACGGACGGTAATCACATGTCAATTATTGATTTAATCATAGATACGAATAGTGGCGGACCCAAAAAATTACTCAAGGGTATTAAGAATAAGAATATAAGATAATAAATTACATACATAATTTAACAAAAAAAATTCATGAAGTGCATTACATCATTATTTTGACAGCAAATCACATTGTTTTCGTGTACAAAAATATTCATAAATAAACTTCTTATTCGTGTCGCGATTCACAAAAAATTCAGTAAGTGTAACCAAACAATCATTTTAAAATTGCTCTATCCGTTACGAACAAGGGATTGGTCTAGTGGTAATACCACTAACTTTGAACCCGAAGATCTGGAGTTCGAATCCCTTAAATAGTACCTAATAACACAAAGTAATCTATGTCTCTAAGAAGTTGCTCTCATCCGTTGGGAATTTGGGTAAAGTAAGGTAGTCAAAGGGGTTTTTTCGATGAAAAAAAGGAGAAGTAATGAATTGGAATTATAAATTAAATTAATAGATATGAAACTTATTTCATTTCGTATAGAATTAGTAATAATAAATATCTATTTTTTTATTTTATGACAACCTTTAGTTTTTAGTTCAAAAGATTAATTAAAATTCTAAGGCTTGTCAATTGGTAATTGGTTCCAATACAAACATCAATAAAAAAAATTTCCATTAATTATTTTGTTCCAAACTCAAAGCCAAGGTTTGTCAATTGACAATACTTGGTGCAATGTAGGTCCGCCACTGGATACGAATCTATACATTATTATGCAGTTTACCTGTCGTTCCTTTCTTCTTAGAGGAATTTTACAATGCTTTAAAGCATTGGTGCTTTAGTTTTTTCCTTTATGGTACAAGTTGAAGTTGTACCTTTAACGTTATGGTACAATTTTAGGTTGTACCTATACTCTTTTGTAAAATCCCTTTATGGTACAAACTAAAGTTGTACATTTAAGTTATGGTAAAGTTATACCACAACATAAAGATCAAATTCCCTTATGGTACAACTCTAACTTGTACCTTTACCGTTGTGGTACAACATAAAGTTGTACTTTTAAAGCACCAATACTTTAAAGCATGGTAGAAAGGCTCTTCTTCTTACTCCTTCTTTTGTCTAAAACAAGTATCTGTGGGTTGCATTCCTTCGTTGTACTAGTGCATAATTGTCATGAATGTGAAACATGTTGAAATCGTGTTTCTTGAAGGGATAATACTACTAGGAAAACCGAACTATTAAGAATGTGTTATTTGTGTTCTAAAGTATCCAATATGACATTTGTGTCCTAAATTATTTTTTCGTTAGAGTTGACCGGCGCTAACCGTTAGTATTTAACAAATGGCACATTCTTAATAGTTCGGGTTAGGACATAAATGACACAAAACTATAATAGGTAGGGACACAAATGTCACATTAGATACTTTATGATACAAATAACACATTTTTAATAGTTCGGGTTTCCTAGTGGTATTAGCCCTTTCTTGAATTATCTTTAGTTGTCGTCACTACTCACAACTTGATCAAATTACATGAGCAGGAAGGCCGCACCAACACAGCAACCAGGAATTTTGGCGAAGAATATTTGAATGAATCAAGTTTCTTGTCACGTTAGGTGACAAGAACACCCAATTCACGCATTTTTTCATTTATTCACGCCATATTTTCGTTATTCACGCCATATTGATATTGTTCACGTAAGAGTGTTGCTAATTCACGCAACTGATATTGTTTAGTCACGCAACCTGGTGTCAATTCACGCATATTGTTATTTATTCACGCCATTTTAAAATTAAATTTTAGACGTTAAAATATATCAAAATGGATGTCATTGTGTAGATTATGATCAATGCAACATATTTTTACAGACTAATTGAGAATCCAAATTTAATTCCATAAAATATAGCCAATACAAATTATTAGGGGGAAAAAGTCTGAATTTTCATTTACGTGAATAACTTACACTCTTACGTGAATAAACATAGTATTACGTGAATACACACAAAATGGCGTGAATGAGTACAAAAATACGTGAATAAATTGACATTAGGTGTTTTGTCACCTAACGTGACAAGAGATGTTTTCCTATTTGAATGGAGGCTGCCGAGGGTCATCGGCTATGCGTCTATGCCTCAACGGTCTACGGATGGAGTTGGGAAGATTGCGGAACTGCGGCCTGCTTGGAAGATGGTCATCGACGCGGACAAAAGATTGAAGTTAAAAATCATACTTTTTTAGACTTCAACATAGAATCGTGTTTTTTCCCCTACACTCCTAATTAACTCCCCATGGGTCTGCCCCTCCTACTGCTTATACCCCGCTAGTTCACAAATGGAAACTCCACCAACTAACAAACCATCCATCCATCTTCCAAACTGACCATTCACACAGAAAACAATATGTCCCCCCAGCTTAGGGTATCCCCAACGCAAAGAAAGGCGTAAGGGGGTCCAAAAATTATAACCTCAGGGCTCCGTACGTAGGTCCCTTAAAAAAAGTAAAGGCCATTGCTCCTCAAAATTTATATCCACACAAAATAAGGGGAGCTAGCAGCTCGAATCTGGAAATGGACA